GGCGCTCCGCCGCCGCACATGATGGGCCGCGGCCATGCCATGCCGCCGCCCATGCGCGGCCGTGGCATGCCCATGCACCCGGCCGGCCGGCGGCATGCCGCCGCACGATGGGCCGTGGTCGCGGCCGCGGCATGTAGCCTGCTGCATCACGGCTCTAGCCCCAGCGACCGACACTCTCGTCCGGCAACAAGCCCACCGCTGGCTCCATCGATAAAGTGGACGACCCAAGCTATGGAAAGCAAGGCAGCGAGAGGCCAAAGAGGCGCAGGCGAGGCGAACCAGCAAACGGCTCGTTCGGTGACTCGATTGGCAAAATGGCAGTCCGGGCGGGCAATAGAGGCGGCCGCGGCTTAACTCCCCAACACTTTTGCACGACTCGTCACTCTCGTCTTGCATTCCTCAACATGGTACGATCCGATCAGACAGTGGGAGGGCGCCCTGGGGACAGCCGCCCCGCCCGGTATGGGCAAACCATGTTGCCGACATCCACAAGCCGCCTACCGCTGCGGTTGACCATGCGTAGCAGCCTGGTCTTCGGCCTGTGCCGGCCTTGCCTTGCCTGTGCCGGCCCCGGCGGCGCAGTGAGGCTGTGGTGTGTGATTTTGACGTCGCGCCCGGAGCCCGTCCTTGTCGGCTCCACCGGCGTCCTGCAGCGCCCCAGCAGCCCATACTCTTGCCAAGCCTTTCGGCGTGCGCTTAGCCTACCCCCTAGCCTGGTGTAGCTCGTGGTCTGTGGTGTCCTGCGTGGGTGGTGGCTTGCAGACGGGCTTGGGCTATTTTGGTTTTTGTGTGTGCTTGTGTCGGCGCCCGCGGCACCGTCCAAGCGGCGGCAAGGGCCAAGGCTGCCGAGCAGAAGGCTTCCGAGAGAGGGAGACGACGCCCCACACAAGGCGCAACTCACCGGGTAAGTGTGTGCTGTGTGACGCAGTCGAAGAAGGCAGCCAACCCCATGCGCGAGCTTCGCATCGCCAAGCTCTGCGTCAACATCTGCGTCGGTGAGTCTGGTGACCGTCTCATGCGTGCCGCCAAGGTGCTTGAGCAGCTGACTGGCCAGAAGCCGTGCATGTCCAAGGCCCGCTACACCGTCCGGTCCTTCTCCATCCGTCGTGGTGAGAAGATCTCCGTCTGGTGCACCGTCCGTGGCCCCAAGGCGTACGAGATCCTCGAGAACGCCCTCAAGGTCAAGGAGTACGAGCTCCGCCGCGGCAACTTCTCGGACAACGGCCACTTTGGCTTCGGTATCGACGAGCACATCGACCTCGGCCTCAAGTACGACCCGTCCGTCGGCATTTACGGTATGGACATCTTCTGCGTCCTCGGCCGTCGTGGCGAGCGCGTGGGCCGCAAGAAGCGCAAGTCCGGCAAGGTCGGCACCAACCACCGCATCACCAAGGAGGAGGGCATCAAGTGGTTCCAGCAGACCTTTGAGGGCATCGTCAACTAAAATCCTGCAAACCGACGTTCTTTGTTGTGTAGTGCCCGCCTGCCCTACCATCCCCCCCTTTCCCCTTCCCTACCATTCTGCCCACCATCATCATTCACCACGCCGACCCACACAGAGAGAGTTCATGCGGTGTACGCTGCAGCTGCTACCACTGCTACCACTGCTCGACAGCGAGCGGAGGCTCAGTACACGTAGTTCGACTCGAAGAGCGACGAGTCCTCGGCAACGGTCCCATCAGACTCGTACTGGCCGAGGGTGGCGAGGCCGTTGGCCTTGGCGCGCTCGAGGAGCGCAGCCTGCGCGGCCGGCACGTTGTCGGCCGAGCCGGACCAGGCCTCGAGGACCGACTTCTGCAGAGCGCGGCCGTACGAAAAGGCAACGGTCCACGGGCGGCCGGGCAGCTTGTTCATCTCGTTGAGGTAGACGGTAGCCTGCTCCTCCGAGAGGCCGCCCGAGAGAAAGTTGATCGACGGCAGCGCCGGCGGGATGGTGCGGCGGAGCGTGGTGATCGTGGCCTTGGCAATGTCCTGCGGCGACGCGCGAGTCGGGCAGTCCTGGCCGGGCACCACCATGTTCGGCTTGAGGATGCAGCCCTCGAGCAGCACGTTGTGCTCATGGAGCGCCTCGATGACCGCAGCCTGCACCTTGACGTTGACCGCCACAGCCGTCGCCAGGTCGTGCGTCCCGTCCATGAGGATCTCAGGCTCGACAATCGGCGCCAGACCGTTCTGCTGGCAGATCTGCGCGTACCGCGCAAGCGTCACCGCGTTCTCGTGGATCGCAAGTGCAGACGGCGCGCCCGACGCAACGTCGATCTTCAGCACCGCCCGCCACTTGGCGAACCGGCAGCCCATCGCGTAGTACTCGGCTGCCCGGACGTCAAGGTTATCCAGACCCTGGGTCACAGTCTCGCCCTCGATGCCCGAGAACACGTTGCGCGGGCCCTTGTCCACCTTGATCCCCGCCACAATGCCGCGCGACGTCAGGCACTCGATCATCGTCCGCCCGTCAGACACGGTGTCGCGCGCAGTCTCGTCAAACAGGATCACACCCGAGATGTGCTCCTCCAGACCCTCGGTCGTCACAAGGAGCTCGCGGTACGCACGCCGGTTCTCGGCATTGTTCTCCACGTTGATGTTGGCAAACCGCTTGCCGATGGTCCCGGTCGACTCGTCAGCAGCGAGAATGCCCTTGCCGGGCGTGCCGATCGTCGACTATCTCCCCCACCATGTATGCGCGCCCTCACGTGAGTCCCCTCCAGCCCGCCTGCTCGCTACAGCCCAAAGCTCCTCCACTGACCGCCACCGCCCCCACGTGGCGACCTTCCTAACACCGCCCCGCACCTCCACCCCTACCAAGCCGCACAACCCACCCACCGACTCTCCCTCCACCCTCCACCCCCATCCACCTCCCAACCATCCTGAACACACACACACACCCCAGCAGAGTCGCCTTCCTCCCCCTCCCCTCCCCCCTCCCCTCCCCCCCCCCTTCCCTCCCTTCTCCCCTCCCCGTTGGCTCCGAATTTTGAGCCATTCGTTCGTTCGCTCGATCCGTCTTCGCCTTCCCTCACCCCCTCCCCCTGGACCCTTTATTTCGATA